AAACTGAATGATGAATGAAAACTGAATGATGAATGAAAACTGCATGATGAATGAGAACTGAACGAAGAATGAGAACTGAACGAAGAATGCGCCGCGAGGAAAGATTCGGAGTATATTAAGCCCTTTGCTCCTCCTCTCCATTGGTTTCGTTAATATTTTTCGCGACTTGAATTTTTTATTCACGCCCTCCGATGTTGCTGGGAGGCGTTGCCGTTTAGCATAGGAGGTGTTAGAACCTTAGGTATTGGTGAAGGCTTTTGTTTATAGAATTAGCTTTTGCCCAATGGAGAGTTGTTGCAATTTGAGTGAGAGTTATGCCTTTTCTTATCTACTTAAGTTTTATCTTAGGTAGATATCGTGTAACGGAGATCTGTCAGGCGAGCACATATGATATCATTTTAATGTCCGTTTCGGTTTTCATTTAGTTTCTTGGTACCGAAATTGTTTATTACGAGAGCTGTCAACCATAATTTAGATTAGTAAGAGAATTTGTCATCTAAGCTTTGCTTATTTCTTAGATCAGATATGCTCTAATTTCCTGTTTGTATCATATATCCTCTCAATTTTTGTTTCCGAAAAGTTTGTCTCGCCTTTCAGTTTCCATTTGTTTATTTCAAGGCATAATGCGCTCTTAAGATACCGCTAATCTCTATTTACGATGAAAGAAAAGAATCGTGGAGTCCGCCGGACGTAACAATTTTCATTAATCTGTAAAAAATGTACAAAGTTACTTTAAGAAATACATATTGTCAAGTCGCTCGTCTTTTATACAGTTCCGCGTCCACTTTACTCGTCGAGATTACATTTAGCGGTACTCCTCACTCTCGCGTCCACCTCTCTCGCTAACATTTGCTGGTCCTTTAAGCCGGATTCTCTGTGTCCGGTGCCGGTACGTGGAGTTAGTGCAGTGCCAGTGGTGAGTTCTTCTGTGCTTATTCGGAGAACTTGCATCTAAAACTTCAAGATGAGTAAGGACATGGAAGCTGCCATCAGCATGCAGTTCGACCTTTACGGGCGCATCGCTCGCTCGTACGAGAACTTGAAAAAGGTAGGCTTTGCTCACTAAACGATCGGCTTAGTGGAAGCGCGTCTACAAGCCCTCGAATCCAACTGGGAAAAATTCGACACCCAGCACGACAAGCTCCTCGCCACATACAGGGAGGCCCTGGCAGGACATGACTACCTGAAGAAAGACATGCTGTCCCTTACGGAGGAATCTTACATCGCACAGAAGAGTATGTTTCTTGACATATTTCGCTCCCTGAAAAATAAGGTCAACGCGGAAGCGCCTGCCGTCGGCGCAAATCCCTTGCAGACATCGCGCACGACTTTGCCGCGGATCCAGCTGCCACAATTCTCGGGTCAGTACGAAGAGTGGCCTTTCTTCCGGGATCTCTTCAACTCACTCATCGTGAAAGATGCCTCCACAGCTCAAGTCGAGAAGCTTCACTACTTGAAGACGTGCTTGAAAGGTGAGGCGGAACTATTAATCCGCAGTTTGCCGACGACAGCCGAAAATTTCGATCGCGCGTGAATGATCCTGACAGGATATTACGAAAATAAACGTCTTCTAGTTCGTTCTTACATTTCGCGATTTTCGGCTCTTCAGAAACTCAAAAGTGAATCTGCTACCAAAAATTATATCACGGCGTAATGAGCACCGTCGGCGTTCTCGAAAGCATCGGACGGCCAATAATGCGCGGCGAGGATCTCTTCGTTCATCTCGTCGTGGATCTCCTTGATTCCCGGTCGCGTCGCGAGTCGGAAAGTTCTATCAGTGATGCGACGGAACCTCCGTTGTATACCGCGTTGCAACAGTTCATAGACCGTCGGCTTCATACGCTCGAATCCTTGCAGTCTAGTCAACCGGAGACTAGCCCTGCGAAATCAAGTCTAAATTCGGGGCGTCCGACGCGCGTACATCACGCTCGTAAGCCCGCGAACAAACGCGGACAGTGCTCTATCGGCAGTCAAGATCACTACTGAGTCATACGTTCTGGATCCTTCTAGAAGGATTCAAGATTATAAAAGAGGTGCGCACAAGGCGCGACCGGCTCTTGACAAAAAGTAATCGACGCGTACACGTAGATTTTCTCGCGCTGCTTTATTCGACTAAGTTCCGTCGCGACAGTTAATCCAGTGCGCTTTCGCGGCTCGCGATCCACCGATTCTGTGTGCGGTCTTATTGTTCGACAGTGCGGTCTCTTCGTTCGAGATTATCCCTCCGTTGCTTGCGGAAATATTAGATATCATTTATCATTAATCTGTAAAAAGTGTACAAAGTTACTTTATTAAAATACGTATTGTCAAGTCGCTCGTCTTTCATACAGATCCGCGTCCTCCTTACTCATCGAGATTACATTTAACGGTACTCTTCACTCTCGCGTCCACCTCTCTCGCTAACATTTGCTGGTCCTTTAAGCCGGATTCTCTGTGTCCGGTGCCGGTACGTGGAGTTAGTGCAGTGCCAGTGGTGAGTTCTTCTGTGCTTATTCGGAGAACTTGCATCTAAAACTTCAAGATGAGTAAGGACATGGAAGCTGCCATCAGCATGCAGTTCGACCTTTACGGGCGCATCGCTCGCTCGTACGAGAACTTGAAAAAGGTAGGCTTTGCTCACTAAACGATCGGCTTAGTGGAAGCGCGTCTACAAGCCCTCGAATCCAACTGGGAAAAATTCGACACCCAGCACGACAAGCTCCTCGCCACATACAGGGAGGCCCTGGCAGGACATGACTACCTGAAGAAAGACATGCTGTCCCTTACGGAGGAATCTTACATCGCACAGAAGAGTATGTTTCTTGACATATTCCGCTCCCTGAAAAATAAGGTCAACGCGGAAGCGCCTGCCGTCGGCGCAAATCCCTTGCAGACATCGCGCACGACTTTGCCGCGGATCCAGCTGCCACAATTCTCGGGTCAGTACGAAGAGTGGCCTTTCTTCCGGGATCTCTTCAACTCACTCATCGTGAAAGATGCCTCCACAGCTCAAGTCGAGAAGCTTCACTACTTGAAGACGTGCTTGAAAGGTGAGGCGGAACTATTAATCCGCAGTTTGCCGACGACAGCCGAAAATTTCGATCGCGCGTGAATGATCCTGACAGGATATTACGAAAATAAACGTCTTCTAGTTCGTTCTTACATTTCGCGATTTTCGGCTCTTCAGAAACTCAAAAGTGAATCTGCTACCAAAAATTATATCACGGCGTAATGAGCACCGTCGGCGTTCTCGAAAGCATCGGACGGCCAATAATGCGCGGCGAGGATCTCTTCGTTCATCTCGTCGTGGATCTCCTTGATTCCCGGTCGCGTCGCGAGTCGGAAAGTTCTATCAGTGATGCGACGGAACCTCCGTTGTATACCGCGTTGCAACAGTTCATAGACCGTCGGCTTCATACGCTCGAATCCTTGCAGTCTAGTCAACCGGGGACTAGCCCTGCGAAGTCAAGTCTAAATTCGGGGCGTCCGACGCGCGTACATCACGCTCGTAAGCCCGCGAACAAACGCGGACAGTGCTCTATCGGCAGTCAAGATCACTACATCATGTTTTGTGACGGCTACAAGGCCAAGACCGCCGCGGAAAAGAGACAACACATTGAAGCTAACAATCTTTGCTTCAACTGCCTCGGCAAGCACAAACTAAGTGAGTGTACCTCGCAGAAAACATGCTCATCGTGTCGCGCGCGTCACCACACGATGTTGCATGATATATTTAAAAAAAGCGAAGTCGCGACATCCTTGCACTTCGCGCAGCGGTGTCAAGAAGCAACAGTGCTTCTAGCTACAGCTCGCGTTCGCGTAACAGATCAAGACGGAGTCGCGCACACTGCGCGTGCCCTCTTGGATCAGGGCTCCGACTCGTCAATGATTACGTCTTCACTGGCACGACGATTGCGATTAGTTCGCCAAGCAGCTTCTATCCGAATAATCGGCGTTGGTGGGAAGCCGTCGGGCCGCGTTAACAGCCGAGTCAAGTTCCAGATATTACCTCAAGGACGAGGACTGCCGATAACCGTAACGGCAATGGTCTTTCCTCAGATCACCACCGTAAGCGGAGGGTTCAAAGGAAATCGACGAGCGTGGACACACCTCCGAGAACTGAGGCTCGCCGACCCTGACTTTAAGGAACCGGACCCGTTGGACATTCTGCTGGGCGCGGATGTCTACGCCGAAATCCTCCAGCCAGGCCTTCGTAAAGGAGCTCCCCACGAACCTATAGCTCAACGGACGTCATTAGGTTGGGTTCTGTCTGGACCCGCGGGAACAACTGGCGAAACGATGCAGCGCAACGCTCAGTCATACCATTGCCAAACGGACGAAGATTTGTCTTCTCTTGTAAGTAAATTCTGGCAGCAAGAAGAACTGCCCGTCTCTGGCTCGCCACTTACTCCAGAGGATCAATAGTGTGAGAATTTTTACAACGAAACACACGCTCGCACTGCTGAGGGACGATACGTCGTTCGATTGCCGGTCATCGCGCCGCTGCCGGATCTCTCTTCAACGCGTTTTTCCGCTCAGCGAGTACTCTCCGGCATGGAGAAAAGATTTGACAGGGATCATCGCCTGCATCAACTCTACGAAGACTTCATGCAACAGTATGAAGCCTTGGGCCACATGGGCCCGGTGAGTCAATCAGAACCAACAGGAGAGCGCGTGAGCTACCTGCCCCATCACGGAGTCATGCGGGAGTCGAGTACCTCGACAAAGCTACGCGTCGTCTTCAATGGCTCGACGATCACAGCTTCAGGCAATTCGCTCAACCGACGCCTCCTGGTCGGCCCTAATTTGCCGCCCCCTCTCTGCGATGTGCTTCTTCGATGGCGTCGACATCGATACGTAATGGCCACAGACGTGGAAAAAATGTACCGTTAGATTTTTTGGTCCATCCTGACGACCGTGACTTGCAAAGGATCATATGGCGCTACGACAGGCAGGCCAATTTCCAGGAATACCGTCTAAATACGGTTACTTACTAGCTATCCTGTGCGCGCTTTCTGGCTATGCGTACTCTTCAACAACTCGCCAGCGACGAAGAGCAGCGATATCCTATAGGAGCATCCGTTATCCGCAGCGACGTCTATATGGATGACGTCCTCACAGGTGCCGCCAGCTTCGATGAGGAGCTTCAACGCCAGCTGAAGCAGGACTCTGCACGGCGGGCGGCTTCCCTCTACGGAAATGGTCGGCGAACGAGTCTTCTATACGTGCGGAAGTGCCTATCGAACATCAAATGCAACGCGAGCCTCGGGCCTGGCGACCACACGAAACCCACGCCACACTCGGATTTCAATGGCATCCCGGGACGGACTGCTTCTCATTCGCCACGCGGAAGATCTCGGTGGCGAACATAATAAAGCGATCAGTTCTCTCCTTAACAGCGCGACTCTTCGACCCGCTAGGATGGCTGACGCCCGCTGTTGTGAACTGTAAAATCGCCTTTCAGGCTACCTGGTTGCAAGGCATCGACTGGGACGACCCCCTCGACGAAGCATCCGCCAAACGGTGGCAAGATTATCAAAACGAGCTTCCCCTGCTAGAACAAATCCGGATACCTCGGTGGATCGGCCCGCGCTCGCTCGATGGCGAGGCTGAGCTCCACGGGTTCGCCGACGCTTCCGAGCGTGCCTATGCTGCCGTCATTTACCTGAGGACCGAAATCAACAATGAGTGGCACACTTTCTTGATAGCCGCTGAAACTAAAGTCGCTCCTATTCGACAGATTACTCTACCTCGTCTAGAACTCAGCGCTGCCGCTCTCTTCGCCCGGCTTGCTGCCCACGTTCGGACAACGCTCTACTTATCGAAGACCCCAATGCACCTGTGGTCGGACTTCACGGTCGCTCTAGGTTGGATACGGGGACATCCCTCACGCCGGAAGAATTATGTCGCCAACCGCGTGGCCAAAATCCAGACTACTGTTCCCGGCGCTCTATGGCACCACATCCCTGGACGGGATAATCCAGCTGACTTCGCCTCACGAGGACTTTCTCCTGGTGAACTGGTAAATCATCATCTATGGTGGCAAGGACTCCCGTGGTTCCAGCTTGGGGAATCTTCTTGGCCCGTTTCAAGCGGGCTGGTTACTTATGAGAATCTGCTCGAAGAACGAACCCGCGTTCATGTGGCCGAAGCTCAGCCTTCGTCTGGCGAAGAACCCGCTGAGTTGCTGCGGTTCTCTTCCTACCATCGACTGCTGCGTGTGACAGCGTGGTGCCGACGATGGCTCCCGCAACGAGGAAATGCCGGTCCAGCGGCGGACGAGGCTGAGCAACTCTCCGGTAATGTTTTATCGACAGCAGCGCTGGAGGACGCACGCCTATTGTGGCTCCGGCTGGTCCAATCTACCAAGTACAAGGACGAACTAAAGGCCATACGAAAGGGCCGCGGACCGGGTAAATCTAGTCCACTTATAAGACTCAGTCCTTTTCTAGATCGCCAGGGCATCCTCCGCGTCGGAGGACGTCTCAAGCACGCCATCCTGGATTACGATGAGCGCCACCCCATCATCCTGCCTAGCGAGTCGACGTTCAGTCGATTAATAGTCGAGGCGTGCCACCGGCGCTGCACGGCGGAGTACAGATGACCCTGGGGATGATCCGACAGCGTTATTGGATCCCTAGAGGCCGAGCCATCGTAAAACAACAAATTCTTTGCTGCGTGACTTGTGTGCGTTGGCGGGCGGCGACGCCACAGCAGCTGATGAGCAGCCTGCCTCGCGAACGGGTGACGCCAGCTCGACCCTTCTTACACACCGGCGTCGACTACGCTGGATCTATTTTGCTGCGGATCACAAAAGGAAGAGGCCATCGAGCGTACAAAGCTTTCATCTCCGTATTCGTCTGCTTTTCAACAAGAGCCGTGCATCTGGAGGTCGTATCGGACTATACGGCGGAGGCCTTCTTGGCGGCATTGCGTCGTTTCACCTCTCGTCGCGGATTGTGCCAAACCATCTACAGTGACTGCGGGACGACGTTCGTGGGAGCTGACACACAGCTACGGGCCTTCTTTGCTGTCAGCAGTCCCGAACAACGAGCGATAGTCAGGCAGCTCGCCGCCGATAGAATTACATGGCGATTCAACCCACCTTCGGCGCCTCATTTCGGCGGAATATGGGAGGCTGCCGTCAAGTCTTTTAAGCATCATTTGAGGCGGGTGTTGGGAGATGCAACCCTGACCTACCAGGAGATGAGCACTCTCCTCGCTCAGGTAGAAGCGTGCCTTAATTTACGACCTCTTCAGGCTCTTGATGATCCGAAAGACCTCTCCGCTCTCACGCCAGGCCACTTCCTCGTGGGATCCGCTCTGACCGCCATACCTGAACCTTCCATGCTGGACAAGCCGATGAAAGAGCTGGCCCGTTGGCGGTTTCTTCAAAAAATGCGGTATTATTTCTGGGAAAGATGGTCCCAGGAATACCTCCACTCGCTAGTACATCGCCCTAAATGGTGGAGCAAGGAGTCGGGCTTCACAGTCGGCCGATTATGCCTCATCCGAAACGAAAACCTGCCACCAACGAAATGGCCCTTGGCACGCATCATTCAGATCCATCCCGGAGAAGATGGTCAAATCCGCGTTCTGACCCTCCGTACGGCTACCACAGAATTAACCCGGCCTATAGTAAAGCGCATTCTTTTGCCGGTCGCCGATAGCGAGGCGAGCGAGGAGGCTCAAGTTTGATCGCTCAAGCGGTTTACGTTTTTCTTAGAATTTACGGCATGCATATAATTGTATTAATTTTATTCTTTTTCTGTATACTCGTATTTTTATGTGTTAATAATAGGCAACCGTGACGGCGACCCGTCGCTGGTCATTCGATCAAGCAACGGACGGGATTGTTCTTAACATCGCGCCATGCGATCACAGTAGATAAGGGCGGGCGGCCACGAGCTCGGATAGTTTCTTCGCCTCGCTCTTCTCGGGAAGTACTTCTGCTTACTTCATGGTTCACGTCTCGATCACATTGCACTGCACTGAGATCTCTCGTCTTCTCTCGACATCGCGCAATAATAACGTTCACTCCCGGGATTCCTTATGTACGAATTAAGATAAATTTCGCCAATTGCTACTGGCGAGGCGGGCGGGATATTCGAAATCAAATTAAAGGCGATGGAAGACGAGGCGCCTTGAACGAGATCGAGTTTAAAGCGATAGGAGATATAGCGCGGCTGATCGATAATTTCTAAGAATTCGGGATAAGAGAGATGACCGCTCTCGATACAGTCGCTCTTGCTCTAGCTTATCGGGAGCTATGAGCCTTTCGACACTCCAAGTCTATCACTGCGCTTTAAACTGACATCAGTGGCGCCCAATCATAATTGTCGCTCTCTTAAAACAAAAGAAAGTGAGTCATGCGTTCTGGATCCTTCTAGAAGGATTCAAGATTATAAAAGAGGCGCGCACAAGGCGCGGCCGGGTCTTAACAAAAAGTAATCGACGTAGTTTTTCTCGCGCTGCTTTATTCGGTTAAGTTCCGTCGCGACAGTTAATCCAGAACACTTTCACGGCTCGCGATCCACCGATTCTCTGTGCGGTCTTATCGTTCAACAGTGCGATCTCCTCGTTCGAGATTATCCCTCCGTTGCTTGCGGAAATATCAGATATAATTTTCATTAATCTGTAAAAAGTGTACAAAGTTACTTTAAGAAATACGTCATGTCAAGTCGCTCGTCTTTCATACAGTTCCGCGTCCTCTTTACTCATCGAGATTACATTTAGCGGTACTCCTCACTCTCGCGTCCACCTCTCTCGCTAACAATGTTAATAAATGTAAAAATGTAAATATTTATAAAAACCATTTTTATTTAAAAACCATTTTAAAAATGCCTATTTTCCATTTCCTATTTTAAATGGATGTTTAAAAAGCATTTTGCATTTTCAAATGGAAAGGATTCAACTGTTTTGCATTTTTTATTTCAAATGGATTTGGACATCCATTTTGCACATCTCTGCATGTAACAAATACGTTATATTACTTGTTATATTCCGTTTCATTATGGCAATGTTACAGTTATGTATGTGTTTGCCAGGTTTGAACTTTAAAATGTATGAAAAGGTTAACAAATATAAAAATACTGAAAAATACTAACATAACTTAAATTTAATCTCTCTTCAAAACCATGTTAACAGTTTCAAAATTTCGGATCAATATGCATATTAGCGCCAACCTCACCGATTTCAATGACCTTGACATATGTTGTCAAGGACATGACTGTAAGTAACTTGCAAAAAATTTTAGCCGTCGCTCGTTGTTTATTACAAAGTTATTAACAATTTAAGTTGTAACGATGCATCCCCCCATCGTTACTGCACCGTACCCGGCCGCCGATCCGCCGAAAGTCCGCCGCCCGACAAACACCGGTCCGGCAAATGCGGAGGCGCCGAGCGCCCATTTTTAAACGATAATAGAAACACGCGCCTATTAAACCGCCGTTAGGCGCGCGTAAACATCTCGAATCGACGACCCCGAACCCAGGATCCCGACCGAGTTATCCGTCGCCCGCCTCGCGAAAGCGGCTTGTTACAAAGTTTATGACTTTTCACGCGAAGCGAGATACGATTTTAAATGGATTTGCAACTTTGAGTGCAAAACGAGGTTTAGTTCATATCGCGAAAAAAGTGGCGGTTATGATCCGCCCTCCCCCCCTCCCCCCGCTTATGAGGGAGCTCCGGAAGATATAACTTAACCCAAACCAAATTTTAGTTTTAAATCAGGAATAGGTTTGGGTTAGGTTATTTCTTGCGGAAGTGGTGCCCCCCCGTAAGGGGTGCGGAACCCACTGTTCTATGCATACACTTTTTAATGCGAAGAAATGTTTTACATGGGTTTACAACTTTCCACGCGAAGCGAGGTTCAAAGCGAACCTATGTGTCTAGTTTTTTTATAGTTGGGCCCCCCGCAGGGGGGGGGGGCGGAACCCACTGTGTTCATGCCTATACTTTTTAAAGCAAAGTGAGATTCTACATGGGTTGTACATGAGTTGAATCTCGCTTTTCGTGAAAAGTTGTAAACCCATGTAGAATTTCACTTCTCATTAAAAAGTACATGCGTGGAAGCCGTATGTTCCGCCCCTCCCTACGGGGGGGCTCCACTTCCGGAAGAAGTAACCTAAACCTATTTCTGTGTATGATTTCTGATTCTTAATTCTAATTCTTAAATGTACACGGTGTCAGACAATTACGTTCTATTCGTTAAACTTATTTTGTTAATAACTTTTTAATAAAAAACGAGCGACGGCTAAAACTTTTTGAAAGTTACTCAGGAGCATGTCCTTGACAACATATGTCAAGGTCATTGAAATCGGTGAGGTCGGCGCTAATATGCATATTTACCAAATTTCGTTTTCTCACTTTATTTGGCTCTCTGAAGACAATGAATGAAACCTAATTTCTATGAATAGTGCCAAAGTATTAGCTGAGCGTTTCGGAAAGTGGAGATGGAGCTGGATCAGGTTGGCAAAACAGTTTTAAGATATCTACAGCCTCCTCCATTAGTATAGATGTTGACAAATGACATGTCTTGTGTACATGGTGTACTATCATTCACTTTATTACAAAATTGTGAATATTCTGAGTTTGATGTTGCAGTTGCCTTTAACTGAATGGAAGGAATATTTGACTCTGATTCTTCTTGAATGTCTTTTTGAGGAACGTCAATCTCTCAAACATGTGCCACTTGGGCTTGTATATATAGTTAGTTTCACTGCGTTTTTATTCTTTCATAACTCTTAAATTTCTTGCGATATTCTTCATGTTTTTAAAACGGTTTGATATAACAGCACCTACAAATAGCATCAATAAAAAGCCTATTAAATAATTTTATTAATTTAGTTCTGCATAACCTCAACTTCGTTTAAGTATTTTTTCCAAAATTATAATTTTTTAACCCAAAATGTTAATTATATGAAATGTTAATTATAGTAAATTAATAAATTATAAATAATTAACTGATATTGTTATTTATTTCTGAGACATACCTGTGAAATGTGAACTCAACTGCTTGACTATTTCGTCCCATGTTGCAATCTTCAGATCAATTCGTCTACGATATAAAAGAGATTGTTAAAAGAATGTCGATTTTGGCCCCCAAGTGTAAAGAATAGACTTTGAAAAATCATTGTTTAGGTCTTCAAATGACAAGAAATAACAGTCATTTTTCCGAGAAGTAATAGGAACATTCCTAAAATAGCTCAAATATAGTGTTACGTCCTGCCGACTTCACAATACCTTCCTTCTGCGGAATTGCGACAATGATCGTCCGATGATGAAAGATAAAAAAAAAGCCATTCGGTAAACAAAACTGCTTGCGACATATAATTTTCTTAACTCGTTCAACATTTTCACATCAATGAGTAACTGCGGAATGGTAAAAAAATCGATGATGAATCTTCTCGACGATAAATCTCTAAACAAATAAAAACTGCAGTATAGAAAAGCAATAACAGCAGGTACCGATCTTAGTTAAATTTTTCGGTGGAAGACAAAGGGAAAAATTGATGATGAAATTATTGACAAGAGATATTCTAAAACAATATCAACGTTTAATGATAGACCATTGAACAATAAGAATTTCGAAAAAATCCACCGAAAAAAGAAAGTTGCACAACTGAGATCTGAATCATGAACTAACATCTGATTCATCAGTAGACGATTATTAGAGCAAAGTCTTCCCAAAAAAGATATAAAAAGAGAGATCCACGAGAGCATACAACAGTTAACATAGTTCTCAGAGCATCGGTTATTCTCGCGGATTACCCACAGTCTTCCGTGCGTTCTTACAACCCACCAACGATCATCCAGCCGTGCCGATAATTCAAGTAGTAAGTCAATTAAAAATTTTTTCTTTTCATTGAATTTTTAAACGATTTACTTTAAAATCGCAAATTAACTGTCAGTGCCGAAACATAAGCCGACGCGCCGCTTTTTGCAACCAATCTTAAATTATAAACAGAATTGTCGGGATAGACGGGCACAAGAATTATTGGAACGGGCACATTCATCAAAATGATGAATTAATTTATACAACTCGCACGCTAATTTTATTTTTAATATTAATTTTAATTTTTTACTTTACAACGACGAACACCCATCTCCCCCTTCTTCTCTTTTTTCTATCAACCTAATAACTATTATTCGCTGATTCATTACTTCCCCGATGGGCTCTCCCCGCTTCCTTCTTATTCGCCTGTCAGTGCATACCTGAAATCTCCCTCACCTTCACTCTTCATCGTTACCATTTCAGACAACTCGTCTCCTTTTTCTTCTCCACTAACAGTGATTCCTTCCGACGACTTTCCGGACGACTCCTCAGAGTTCCTTTTGTATTTTGAATAATTCGTCTCCTTCTTGTTTTCCTACCACACTAATTACAGATTTCTCATCAGAATCGTCCTTCGATCTTCCAGATCTAATATCCAAAATTTTAGCTTCATCTTCAATATCTGAATAATTTTCCATGTTATCTTCAATGGCCCTTATCTCGTTCTAGTCCAATAACCCACTTCTCCTATCTAAGATAAAAAATCCCTGATTTCATCCACTTTTTTACACATTATAACACACTTTTGTTTATTTGATTTATTTCAATCTTAACATAAAAGAAATATAATTGTAATTTCTAGTAAGAACTTAAAAATTAATGTTAAAATCACTCCCGTGTTGTTCTGACTGACGATCTCCGC